GACGTACTACCCGGATTTCTTTAGACCGCGAAGGCCGGGTCCTCAGGTGGAAGCAGCCTCTGAATTTGGACACCCCCGCTGTTTCCGGGCCGGCCAATAATAACGGTGACATTTAACGTATTTTATCCGACAAATAAACACTGTAAAATGCATCCCCCACCTCAACAACCCTTTTGAATGTCTCCCTAGTATGGCCACAACACCTCACTCTTGGAGCACTTTTTTGCTCCACGTCTCAGCTGTTTGTGGAGGTAAAATAAGTCCGCACATGACTCCAATTACACTCAGCCATTGTTGTGAATGGTGATGTGCGGATCGATCCTGAAATATCGATTCCTCCGATACCAGTCATTTATGTTCTAGAATTGATTCTCATATAAAATATCAATATTTTAGTAATTTAGGGTAAATATGTAGTTTATCATTAACAGGAACAGTGGAAAGAAACTATATCATTCGGATCGTTTACATTCAAAGGAACTACTTCCTCTTCCGCCTTTCATAGTCATGTGCGAAATACGGCTGTATAAATGTCTCGCAGTCCCTTGGCGTTTTTTTAAATCCTGCATGTTATTAAAAGGTGGTGATGGCGAATAAATAGTCCATCAAAAGCTTTGTGGGTCAGTCCATCTCAGCCCAGGATCAACTTTATCGCTGGCTTATTGTTAATATCAGGTATACAATAACAAATTTTTATTTCCTACTTTATTGTTCATACTTTTTCTAAAGTAGATTTTCCTCTGTGACTTGTGTCTTTGATTTAAAAATAATGGTAAGCATCACTGTCTTTATTTTCAGAATTACTAATTAAGATTTTATTTTCATTAAAATTTCTTTCTTTGACAAAATAAAAATAATAATAAATATGTGTGTGTGTTTAAAATGGATTAAAAATGTAATGCGTCTGAGAATTTATTACCACACGACTCTTCTTCAGCTGATTTCACACATAGAGACAAGAAAACTGCATTGTTATAGTTCACTTCAGTTATTATGTTACTGTTTTCTGTCGTCAGATCTTGGGTTAATTTAAAAAAAAATTGTAACTGGTAGGGTTAATAAAAGAAGCTACTGCTGTACAGGATTAATAGTAAAAAGCAAGCAATAAATCTAAAGGCATGCTATATATATATTAGCACTTTGAAAATCTTACTGATCATGCAAAGCTCAAACCACATCGAATCATACATTCATCCACTTTAAGCAATATGATCTATCCCCAAATGCACAGCCAGTTTACAATCACCCGTTAACCTAACATGCATGTGTTTGGACTGTGAGAGAAAGGACCTTGTTGCTCTGAGGGAAGATTAACTCATTTATCACTGTGGCAGATGATGGTGATGATGACCAGCCCCTGTCCTAAAACCACTGCACTGTATTTATCAGTTGGCCTGTTTCAAATTATACTTTATGTTAGAGAAAAAAAATACAGTCCTTGTCATACATTCACGTTTTCTAATTGTTTATACATGACACCCATCCTGGATCATATCAATATTCATTTAGGTTTGAGTGATCCAAATGCACCACATTGTGACAATAACCATAGCATAGCAGCTGATGATCAGTAGATAGATACGAAAGAGCAGGAAGTCAAGGACATATCCTACATGGCACCACTGGTCCAACAGCTGGCTTTCCTTCTGCAGAGAGACGAGGTGGGCACGAAGTTCAGCAAGGTACTGACAGATCTGTTGCAGTTCAGGCAGAGCAGATGTACCTGGCAGAAAAGTGGAGATTAAAAAGTCAAATAAAGAGCACTCCATAATATATTTAACACCACAGATATCTTTTAATTTAATGCAGAATAGAACATTTGCCCATGTAACCTTTTTGTATCTGAGTGAACCAAGTGATGCCTGCCAGTATGTTTTCTCAAATACTTTTAAGGTCACAAGATTTTTCAGCACCAATTGGCCAATGGCAGTAATGACAGAGTATTATGTAGGTTGGCTACCGTTACTAACTGGGTGCTGGTCAGGTGCCCGGCTGGCTGGTTGAATGATCCAAGGACCAGAACTGCCATTGGAGTTTCCAGGTTTATCCTTCTGTGGTGTAGAAGGCGGCTGGATATCTTCTGGCCAGCGGTAGCAGATGAGGTTTGCTATATGTTTGAGCACAACAATCCTAACCCACTTTGGAACCTCCCGATATTTCAAGGAGTTATGGTGGAGGACATTTGTAATGATGACTGTTTCCAGTAGACTGATAACCATGAGGGCAAGACACACTGAGAAATAGATACCTAGATTGAAGAATCAAAGGACAAACATTAAAGTAGTCATACATTTAACTTTTAAGATGTTGGCCGAGTTGTTTATCAGCACTTTTAACAGGCAGCTAAATTTGGGGCCTATAAGCCTTCCAACCATTTTCTTCTACTTATCTATAAGGTGGTTTATAACAGTATGCACCTATGATGGGAGTGCCATTTGCTGTACTTGGCAGCAGGTCGTTCATGATGAGCAGGAAGACTGTGTAGCCCAGGATGAGGGTCATTTTGAAGGAGGCACGGTCGACGCTATGGGGAGGCAGGTAGAAGGACAGGATGTCAATGAGCATGAGGAAAGAGCTTGGGATCAGAAGGTTGACCACGTAGAGCACTGGGCGCCGCTTTACGACCACCTAGCGAACAAGAAAGCACATGCAGTTTAGATGCATCTTCACAGGGTGTGACTTCTGTATTCAGAAAAGTGAGTTTTTAATTTTGCATTCACTTTCTGTTGGTTCTTTTTTGGTTTCTATAAACTGATAGATACTGAATTAGTAAATGCTAAATTCTAAAATCTGTTCACCGACTCCTGTTTGGGGACGAGAATGTACAAAACCATCTGCCTGTTGCAGTTCAAAAAGTTTGTATAGGAGAAGTAAGAAAGGAAACAGTTAGCTAAAAATCACTTTAAAGGTCTACAGTGATGCAGTGGCTTGCAGATAATCTGTGGTCAAGCAGTAAAGCCTTTTGGATGGTTTTAAAAACAACTTCTGACCTTAATAATAAGAGACTCAGCTACATGTCACACTCTGTGTTGAGCTAAACTATACCTGCTGGCTTACATTGTATATTTGCCGTACAGACACTAGTGGTAAATAGCATTAATAAGTAAGCATCAGTCCCATTGTTGCTGTGCTGTGGAGTCTCTGATGCCCAAATTAGTTTCAGTCTGTTATATTTATTTTATTTAAAAGTAGGAAATTCAGTGAAAGTGTGGTTCTCTGACCCAGAAGGTGATGATGTCCCATTCGTCGATTCCAAATTTAAGTATGGAGGTCTCTCCCAGTATGTCCACCAGCTCCCACTCTCCACTTGCTTCCAGGTATCGTTTTGAGTTTAGAGACATCTCCTTAAAAGGCAGAGCTGGACTGACCCTCACATCCCGTACTATGTAAGACAACCACAGCAACACAATACACTGTTAGGTACGGAGCCCCCCAGGGGACATGGGAGAAAAAAAAATTAGGGAGGAAAAAAAAAAAAATTAGGGAGGAAAAAAAAAAATAAGACGGACTTTTGCGAGATCTCGCAAAAGTATTGCGAGCCCTCGCAAAAGTATTGCGAGATCTCGCAATAAGTATTGCGAGCGCTCGCAAAAGTATTGCGAGATCTCGCAAAAGTTTTAGCCGCATTCTTCGGAGGCCGCCAGCTCGAAGCCGACCGGGAGGTCGAGGCACGATGTGCCGGGAAAGCGGTGTTCCTCCCGGCTGTAGTAGGTCTCGACCTCCCGTTAGCTTCGAGCTAGTGGGTGTCAGATCTCCAAAAACCTCGGAGCTCTTTTGCAAATATGTGATGTCTTGTAAACCGAGCAGGTATCTGACGTTTACACAACTACATTCACGCCTCAAAATATCTTAAAAGTGTATTTTGTGACCCAGAAAGAGTAATATTACAACTAAGTAGCTGCCGCCATTGTTGGAGTTTTGCGAGCGCTCGCAATACTTTTGCGAGATCTCGCAAAAGTCCGTCTTAATTTTTTTTTTCCTCCCTAATTTTTTTTTTTTCCTCCCCAATTTTTTTTTCTCCCATGTCCCCTGGGGGGCTCCGTAGTTAGGTATACATACAAAAGTAATTTTGTAATTTGCACACAATGTATGATAGTTGTGTGATTGAAATGAAGATGTTTGGCTTTCATTTAAGCGGTTTAATAAAGGTATTCAATTAACCCTTTAGGAAATACAGACATTTTCAAACATAGTCCTTCAAATTAATTGGAGTCAGTCTCATAGCAGTTACCTAATCTCAACCCAAACAAACATGTTTTTTATTTATTTATTACAACCCAAAAAGACCCAAAAACAAACAGCAACTGAAGGTGGCTTCAGTAAAACCCTAGCAGGGAGGAAAGGGAGGAAACAGTATTTGGTTAGATGGCTTCTGCACTTCAGGCAGTCAGAGAATTTGTATCCCAGTATTAAAAACAATTATTATGTTTAAAATTATGTTACTTTGTTCCATTAATATTATTTAGCCACTGAAGATGTGAACTATGTGTAAAATTGGCTGTAATTCCTAAAACGGCTGATGCAATTGTTTTGTTAAACCCTCTGAATTAAAGCTGAAAGCAGCCCATTCTTACTGGTGTGCATGTAAGAGCCAAATGTAAATGTGCAGTTCTGCACATCAAAAGGAAAACTGAAGATCTCCAGATTGCAGGATGAGACGAGCCGCAGCATCCTGTCCCAGCGGATGTGACCCGTGTGGTTAACGTAGACGTAAGGACATGCCTGGGAGACGTCGTCATCCACACTGGCAGGGGGAGGTGGGGAAATTAGGAAATAGTATAATATTGAACAAAAACAATGACAGAAAAGAGAGATCGTATTTGTATCAGTCCCACTGTGGATACATATGTATGAGACAGTGTAAAGTAAAAATAGAACTAAATACAAGTACAGTCATTATTTATAACTCCATAGTTTTATAAGTGCCCCTGTAAGTAATTACAGTAATCAAGTACACACAATACTAGGACCATAAGAGGTCTGTATCCATCCTTATTACACCTGTGGTTCCTCCACTGTGACAAGCTAAAATGTCTGCATGAAAAGGTCGATAATGTAGCTGCAGATGACATCTTAGAATATCGACATGGTTTGTATTTTGTAACTGGACTTCAGGATCTTTGGCTGATTCCAAGCCTGTTCACAAAAATATCTTTTTCAGATCTGTATCAGCATTTCATGCTTATCACTCTGTACTTATGGCAACTATGCATGTGTGGTTTTGTGCTTACAGGTTCATTTTGCTGAACTGATTAAATGTATAAATGTTATTATTTAAAAAAACGTTTTATTTGAAGTGCTTACAACTCATAAACAATGATGTCCGGAGACCAGAGCTCCTTCACAGGTAGAGAAATCTTCGTGACACCATCACACTCCTTGGGGTCCCAGACCAGGAACTCATTGTGCCAGTACTGCCACAGAAGTAATGCATTGATTTTAAACCTCCAGTGTAACATTTAAATATGTGAGCAGCTTTTTACAGTGTCCATGGTTATACTTACTATAAGTTTGACATTTATTGAGTACTTACCAGTCTCAGCCACAAGAAAGTAGTGAGTATCTGAGTTTTCTCATTCTGAAATACAGTGAATATGAGTAAACCTGTTGTTGACTGGTACCACTCAATTCGAGTTAAAACAGCATTAAATAAGAATAGGTATGATGATAATAATATCGGGTTTTAGAGAAATTCCTTAAGAAGTCTTGGTGCATTTCTTAAAGTGGTAATAAGGAAACTCACCACACCGAGGACAGCATACAAAGTGAAGGAGATGTTGGCTATGGTGGGATTGCTGAGGTTCACGGCTGGCCTGAAGGGTTGGAGGTCAAAGACAGCCTGCAAGGACTCGTGTGTTGGGCCACTGTGGCCATTTTTACAAGACAGTATACTGTAACATACAGACACTGACCACAGAGAAAATGTATTTCATAAAAACAACAAAACACAAAAAGAACAAAGAATAAACTTTGCTTTTGAGTTTTTGCCTTTATGGATTTTTACCTATAGTGTCAGTTTAGATGGCGTGACCAAGAGGGTCACCTCAAGGCACTTTATATTGTAAGATAAAACCCCTAAAATAATGACCCCCTTGGAGCAAGCACAATAAATTGAAATCTATTAATTACTGTATTTGTCTGACCATAAGGCACACGGATTATAAGGCGCACTGTCGATGAACGGGTCTGTTTTTTTATACATAAGGCGCACCGAATTATAAGGCGCTTGTTAAGCAAAACAAGCATTAGCATTCATCCTCCAGCTTCACTGTTTATGCTATGCTATGCTAATATAGCTGTGCTGCTAGCGATCACGGAGCACATCATCATATACCAGCTAGCCCAGGGGTGTCAAACTCAAATACACAGCGGGCCAAAATTCAAAACTGGAACAAAGTCGCAGGCTAACGTTAATATTTATTGAAATATATTTATTCCTCCAGATATAAGAATGAATCTTTTCTTATGGACTCAAAAACGTTTTGCTGAAAAACTGAATATGGAACAAGCAAAGCTTAATACTAAACAATATATATATATTAGCTGTATAATACCAGTAGGCCAACTCTAATAGTAATTTGGTATGGCTTCGCGGGCCAAATGTAATTAGGTTGCGGGCCAAATTTGGCCTGCGGGCCAGAGTTTGACACCTATGAGCTAGCCCAACTTCAGTAACCCTACAAACGTCACTGCTGTTTAGTTTTCTGTCTTCATTTATGTTGGAAGTGATAACAGAGCTGTATGTTTGAATTGTTTCAGAAATCTCTCAGTCAGAACATGCTATATCATATTTAGGTGGAAACTAGCGAGCTAACTTACGGCTAACTTCTATCTCTGTTAAATTTAATAAATCCTGTTTTCATGGATGCCTGGATGTTAAACGTAATTGTTACATCTGGTAAAGCAGCAACGCTGATCATTTTATTAAAGATGAAAGAATTTAGACAGTTTTTACCTCTCATTGATGCTGCAGTGTTGATTTGACTTTGGGACCCGAGGCGGATGGATTGTTGGACCCAGATTACTCCGCGAGGCTCCTGACTACGGTAGCCATAATGCTCCAACAATCCATCAGCAGTGCGGCTTCGTAGCTTACAAAAGTCGTACTAAAACATTTTTTGACAGTTTTTTGAACGCTGTGTACCACATAAAATCGGTTCCAGGTCAGTAAGCACAACCAGAATTCATACATAAAGCACACCGGCGCACTGTCGTTTTTTGAGAAAATTAAAGGATTTTAAGTGTGCTTATAGTGTGAAAAGTACAGTAGATATGATTCAGGAAGGTCATTGGAGAGAATTGTACTAAACAAATATCAGTAGTAGTGCAAGTAGCTGTACATAATATTAGCTGTGAGATGGCGATGACTAATTTATTCTCTGATGGTTTAAATGTATTTTGTGAAAATATTCATTTAGTCATTAGTTGTTTCGATTAAAGAAAAACTTGATTCAGCAGCTCTGACTGTTTGTCAGCTTGGTTACAGTGTTGAAAAGAAACCTTATGATTCTATTCTCTTTTTTCAGCAATGAACAATAAGTGCCCTAGCTTCACCGAGGAGTTTTTAATTTTTGGTTTTTAAAGCGCAACAAACTTTTTTCTTAAACTAAATAAGCGTCTTCTAAATTAGTGAGATGACTTTTCCTCTCCAGTTTACAGCTTATCTGCTTTCAGGTGTGTGTTTATGAGTTACACTAAGCACTTCTGATTGTAGACTTTATGATGGATTTTTATAGGCGTATTTCATACATAAGACATAATAATGTGTATGTACAAAATGTTACTTAGTCCTATCATTTTCAATCAGCCAGATTTGTTTTGATTCTTAACTGAATATTTTAAAATGTATGTACTAATAATGTGATAATTCTTCATATTTAAACAATAAGAACAAGAGTCTAATGTCCTGTATTAATTATAAAGGTATAGTTTGAAATACTCTCATTTTTAATCCAAACATATCAAGTTTTTGTTCAAAGTATTGGTATTGGATCAGTATTGCTGCCTGAATTTTACTGTATTATCAGATCAGAAAGGAAATCAGTGGTATTGCACATAAGATAAAGGAGGGGGGGGGGGGATGATTGAACTTATTTATAGCACTTTTAGAAAGAGATCTGCTGTAATCAAATGTTATTCATCAAATGTCAAATCAAATGTTATTCATTAAAAGCCATTAAACAATAACAACAGTTGCCAACTAGAAGATGAAATAACAAAAAATATTTATAGCAGTAAAAAAAAAAACAAACGTCTTTGCAGTACTTATATTTAGAAAGTGTGATTCTAGCATACCACAGTGACATAAACTAAATGTACAAAAGGGAAAAGAAACAAATATATTTGCACAGTAAGACTGATTTTAACCTGAACCTGACAGATAAAACCTTTACATTAGTAATAATTAAAATAATAACAGTCATGCTTATCATTATTATTAAAAACATTTGTTGCAGATGAAAACCTGCTTAGGTTTAGAAAATAAAGTATGAACACTTAAGTAGGAAATAGAGGTGTTATCATTACCTGACATTAAGAGTAATCCTGTGATGAAGTTGATTCTCTGCTGAGACGGGCTCATGCTGAAAGCTTTTGATAGACTAAACTTTCTCCACCACCACCTTTTAATAATGTGCAGTGAAAAGCTCCTCCTGATAACACACACACACATACTTGTTTTTGTCTCTTAAAGAAATATTGTAATGATGAACCTCTGGAGATTTAGTGCCTCCTTAACCACAGCCACTACCTGCCTTACCCCGAAAAAAAAAAGGACCAATCTTAAGACTAATAAAGACTCTATTGTTTAAATCAATGTTTTATACACATTTTATAAATAGAGTCTCACAAATAACATATTTCACTAAAAAAGAACAACAAAAATAATAAACAAAACAATATATGTGCTAGAACTCTGTTGTGCATACCTGTCAAACTTTCAGGACCCTTTAACACGTTTTTTTTGTGTTATTATCTCTTTTATTGGGACAGCTGTTGAACATAACAGTAGTTTGCCTTTTTACACTTTCTGTGCTGTCACATTTTAACTTGTAATTGAAAAATAAAGAAGACAGAAAAAGAAGAGAAAAGAAAAGAAGAAGAGAAAAAAAAACTAGGGTTAGGAGGCAGCAGGGCAGGTAGGTTTACGTAGTACTCAGGGTTGTAACATCATATACAAAATCACACCTCATAGTCTGTCCATTCAGACCATATTCCATAGAAGGTATCCCTCTGAAGTTTAAGAGAAAATGACACTTTTTCCATCGTATAAATCTCTTGTACAGAATGTATCCAGTCTTCTATCGTTGGTGGTTCAGGCTTAAGCCATCTTCTCGTAAGAGGCTTTTTACTTGCGGCCAGAAGGATATACAGGAGTCTTCTGTCGTTGGAATTCAGTTTATCCGCTGGTGCATTGCACAAAAATATGGTCTCAAAAGTTGAAGGAAAAACAAATGAAAAAACATTTTGTAAATGATCATGGATTAGAGACCAATACTGGCGAATAACTTTACAGTCCCAAACCTTTAACATGTTTTATTATGCAAACAGTCACAATGGCAGATTATTTCAGTCTGTTTGAGGTCACTGAGGCCTCGTGAATAGATTAAAAAACAAACACACAAACCAAAAATCACCAACAAAAATAGCAGTAAATAGAAAACTGTGGTCTATGCAACGTGTCACAAACACATACAGGGTAGCACAGAACTTGTTTTTCACACCTACAGTAACCGTTCACCCATTTTGTTTTTCAGCACCTCCACCTGTGGGAGCAGCAGTCTTTTCCGATACCCTTCGGTGTGTACTGTGCTAATGCTCCACACAATTATTTTTGGATTTATGCTTTTTTGAAAACCTATGACAGGCTCTGACCCTGATACATAGCTTAAAATAAAATGTATGATTCTTAAACTGTACATTTTGTCATAAACAAAGACAAGAACAAGGACCCAAGGTGCCAATCAAGAAAGACACCCCTACTTCAAAACTCACACCTTCAAGCTTGAATGAAGTTTGCATCTGTCCACGTGGACAAACCAAACGCTTTCTAGAGAACATTTTTATGGTCAGACAAGACAAAGATTGAACTATTTGGCCTCAATAACAAGCGGTGTGTTTGGAGTAAAGGTGAGACTTTGAAACCAAAGAACACTAAACCGTCAACCATGATAGTGGTAGCAAAATACTCTGGTGCTGTTATGCTACCAGTAGTACTTGTAGATAACACAAATGGACGGAATATTCAAACGGAAGACCACCTTCAAATTATTTAACTTTACTACAAATCAACAGCTAGATGTTTGCAACACATTTCAATGTTCCCAAAGGATAATGAAAGCAAACACACATCAACACTAGTTTTGGAATGCATAAAGCAGACTAACATTAAGCTTCACCATCCAAGTCAGGAAACTAACCACTATCAAATCTGCCAAAAAGAGTAATCAATTATCTTGAATTATGCCCAACCCATATGGAAAAGAAATAGTAAAAACTTATAAAAGACTTGCATCAGATGTGGCCTACTTCATATAGTGAATCATATAAGACTTATATGATTTACTCATGAAAGTGGCCACTTTCATATATTGTTTTAGTATCCAAAACATACAAGTTTCATTTATATAATTTTTCAAGGGATCTTATATCTGTTTTCACTCTTGTATGCTTTTCATACAAGTTTCACACAAGACAGATACAAACTTTATAAGATGTATATATATCTTTTCCATATGGGAAGGCTTGTTGATGGCTGCACAAAACCACACAAAAAGATATATACCAAAAAATTAGTGGGGGTGGCTATTTATATTCGACTGTGTGTGTATACTCTTAACCCTGTGTGGATTAGAGAAAATCCAAAATAATTCTAACTTGTTGTTTTTAAAAGTCATTAAAGATGTATGATGTAAAACTCGTGGAAGGCTCAAATTACCCCGATAATCAGGTTCATAATGAAATTATATATTAAACTTGGAGCTACTAGTCAGGCAAGTGTGAAATGAAACACAGAAAAGTAACATTTTGAATATTGTAAACACTTGCTAAATCAATAAATTCAGTATATTATAATCCTTTTTTTAACCAGATGAACTCTGTAGATGACTGATCTGTTGATTTCATCTGAAGCCAAACACAGTGGTTATAAAGCAGACAGAAGACAAGATTCATGACTAATAGATGGTCAACGACCAACCCAATTCCTTCAACACGCTGTCCCCCAGGTGTGGTTGGATGGGTGTGAGGGTTTCTCTAGATGCGCATACTCTGCAGATCTGTTAATGAGAAGCTGTCTGTCTTCATGTTGCTAAATATAATGTACTGAGTGAACTGCAGTTAACTTTTCCAAATGGCATTGTATTTTTACTTTTTGTATTTAAATTGAATTTCTTTATAATTCCAAAGGATATTAATCAGTGGGACACCAGTAGTGGAATTTTAAATGCTGTTTAATCAATTACACCATCCATTCATGTATTTTAAACAGAGATGAGAAGACAGGCTTCCATGCACTTCCATAACTCAACCAAACAAAAGAAAACAACAACAATCTGAGCAAGTATTGCACTTTTTCCATCTCAGTTGCTTGTTAAAATTAATTGTAAACTGCAAAACTGACAACTAACTGACCAAGAGTGACAGCTTTTTTATTATTATGTCATAATAATATAATGACATGCTAGTAATGCTATACTTTTAAAGTCAAGGTCTTTTTAATTCTAAGATTAAACAAGACAGAAATTTACCACTAACTTTTGAATTAAACACAAAATAACAAACAGCAAAGAAAATGTGGGAAAGACCTTTAATATTTTCACACAAATACAAAACAAAAGATCATACTAGTTACACAAGATCAGAAATTCTTAATAGTAAGTAATAGAATAAAGGTAAAGGCAACAAGTAATTGATACTTAACACATAAAATATTAATTTTTGTCAAACGATATTTAGCTGTTTGTAAGTCACGCCGTATATATTAGCAGCTTAATGTATGCCAGCTTCGGTCTTTCTACCCTTTGTAACTGACATATGTCATGGACCTGGATCTTTGACCCAGTATTTTCAGCTTTTCATTTTGGACCTTTTGTTACTTTTGATTTTGAGAGATGGTGTTATTTTTATGGTGTTTTGTTTCTGGTGTTATTTCCTGTGTTTCCAATAATTAGCTCTTTATGAAATTATGTTAGTTCTCTTCCCAGTCTCGTCTGTGTCTGGTCCTCAGCGTTTCTTTTGGAAGTCAGTTTTGAATCCATGTTTGTCTACCTTTCTACCTCCCAAGTCTCCAAGTTCATTTGTCTTAGTCCTGGTCTCAATGTTTGTTACTTCCTAATTTATTTTGAAAGTCTCTTGTCCCATCTGTGTTATGTTCAGTTTTGCTGTCTCATTGTGGGCGTGATGTTAAATATTATTTGAAAACTAAAAGTTAATGCAAAGAGTTTAAAGAACAGACAAGCTAAAAAGTTAAATTAGGCTGCATTGTATGAAACCACCCAGATAATGATGATGGTAATGAAGCTGACTGTTATGAAGATGATGTAAAGGATGAACAGCAGGCGGTCTATGATTAAACCTATCTGGATCCATTCCTCTGTGCTCAGGCTTTTGCTCAGATGCTGCTCCACCTGAAGGCGGACGGCCTGGAGGACTCTGCCCAGGCTCCTCAGCTCTTGCAGGGTTTTGTCCTCACCCAGTGGCCCCTTCTGCTCCAGAGTCTTGGATTCCTCTGTCACTGGAGAGGAGACTGGCATTTTGTATTGCAGAGAAAACAACAGAGAAAATTATGTCAGCTTTGGCATTTTTTAAGAACTTGCTCATCCCGACATTCTATCCTACCTTTTGTGACCGGATTTTGGATCACTGTGTCGTTTCGATCTCTGGGCTTGGGAAGAAGGCATACTAGTCGACCCAGGATTTTAAGAAAAAGCACTCTGATCCAGCGAGGAGCTCGAGAATAGTTAGAGGAACCGCAGAGGAAGTTTGTAATGACGATAGTTTCCAGTAGACTAGCCACCATCATAGCCAGGCACATAGAAAGGAAAACATCTAATAACAATAATAATAATAGTAGAGAAATAATTAATGTCAATATTTTACAGACAAATACAAGTTAAATCCAGACAAAAACCTTTAAAACTAAAAAAAGGACATGGAGATGGAGGAAGACAGAGAGAGATAGATTCCTTCAGTTCACTGTAAAGAGTGTTGCATAACTAATAATGTTTAACTGTAGGGATGTGTGCAACTATTTGATTAGACAATTCATTTTCAGTATTGTCACTAATTGATACCAGAGGTACTTGTTGTTTAATCTCATTATTAACATTTTAATTGATGCCTAATGTCGGTAAATTGTTGTGTCAAAAATGTTATGTTGTTGTTGAGAAACGTCAACAAGGTTTTTAATCTAGGCCTGATCTTGTTGCCACTATTATTGTGAAATATTTTAAAAGCAAATGATTGTGAATACAAATGGCAGAAATTAGCTCTGAGTGGGTGGATGGGCTCTCAGTTAGTCAATTGGTAGGGGCTCAAAATAGAGCCACTATTCCTCCATATTGAAAGGTCGCTAGTTGAGGCAGTTGCCTCCTGGGTAAACTGTTCCAGCTGGGCATCTCCTACCAGGAGAAAGCCCCCGGGATACCCAGGACACACTGGAGCGATTTAATCTTGTGACTGGCCTGGGAATACCTCAATCTTTCCATGGATAAGCAGTAGTGATGTGCGATACCACGGATTTCCTTTCCGATCCGATACCAAGTAATATTCAGGCTTGGTATCGATGATACTGATCCGATACTTTGTACAAAAGCTTGTTTTATTTATTGTATCTCAAATTATAGCGTCATAATGATTACAGGACATCAGATTACTTGTTCTTATCACTTAATAATGCAGAATTCATCATATAGAAATAAAAAACTGAAGTTGTGCTATTTGAACACGTTGCCTGCCTGCAGCACTAAAGGACTCCGTGAGAGACGTCTGTCTCGCCCTAGCAGCACCTGTCCCTGTCCTCCTCTTCAGTTCGTCTCAACATACGCTCGTCATATTCTGTGATATGATTTACTCTGAGGTGTTTGACACGGTTAGTGATGTTGCCACAACCATACATGCCAACCCTCCCGATTTTTCCAGGAGAATCCCGAATTTCAGTCCCCCTCCCGAAAATCTCCCGGAGCCACCATTCTCCCGAATTTCTCCTGATTTTCCACCCAGGTAACAAAAGTGAAAACCATATCGCAGAATTCATAGCACGGCCCAGCCAATTCCAGTTTCCAACAATGCCGGCAGCTACTTAGTTTTAATATTACTCTTATTTCTCTTTCTGGGTCGCAAAAAAACCTTTAACATATTTTCAGGTGAGCATGTAGCTGTGTAAACTTCAAATATCTGAGCGACCGACACATCGTCTTCAAACCCCCGCGCCCTTTCACTACTCGGGTTAAACATGATATATAAGTCACTTTGATAACTTAAAAATGTTATTGTTTGGCTTTTTCAGTGTTTTATTTGTTCGTGAGTAAATCGGTTTGGCTGAGATTAAAGTTATTAGATTAGATTAAATTAAATTAAACTTTATTAATCCCTCAGGAGGGGTCCTCCGAGGTTTTCACACAGCTGAATAAACGTTAAACAGAAAACTAATTAAACAAAGTGTTTTTGTATTTGTATACCCTTTTGTATTTGGGCCAAAGAGTCACATTGGGAATAAGTGTATACCAATCAAGACAATGTAAACTTACTTATGAGAGGTATGGCATTTCCAGTGGCAGGCAGCAGGTCATTCATCATGAGCAGGAAGACGGTGTAGCCCAGGATCAGTGTCATCTTGAATGAAGACCGGTCAGCATCATTGGGAGGTAAGATGAAGCTGAAGAGGTCCACAGTGATGAGGAAGCAGCTAGGGAGCAGGAGGTTCACTACGTACAGCATGGCCTGGCGCCGCAATGAGATCTGCAGCAAAGTGAGAACTTAACTAATCTCACATAGCTCTTTGTGCTTTGATTATACAGTACCTCATACATATACAATAGTTAAATGACAAGGCCCATAAATTTGCAGATATAACTTAATTGTGAAATGGTTTCCCCATCTTAAGTGTGTAAAACAAAGCCTTTCAATCTGTTTACTGTGGTAGAGAACTAGTTATGATCAGAATACTTGTGGCAGCAGGTAATGAAGTTTCTTTTTATTAGTAACTAAACAATTGAACTGCAATTAACCCATATGGAAAATAAATAGAAAAAACTTATAAAAGACATGCATCAGATTTGGCTTGCTTCATATAGTGAATCATGTAAGGCTTATATGATTTACTCATGAAAGTGGCCACTTTCTCATTACTTTCATATATTGTTTTAGTAAGTATCCAAAACATACAAGTTTCATTATATAATTTTTCAAGGGACCTTATATCTGTTTTCACTCTTGTATGCTTTTCATACAAGTTTCACACAAGACAGATACAAACTTTATAAGATTTATATATATCTTTTCCATATGGGAAACTGCAACTATACACCCAAATTCTTTATATACATGAAGCAATATATCCTAGGTTCCTATCAAATATACAAACAATAGAGTCAAATGGTAATGAAGAGAAAACTCTTCTACTTCCTGAAAGAACTTGTCTTCTGTTTTCTTATAGTATGAAAAAGTAAATCATACAATAACATTACATTTTTACAGTGCAATGCAGTTTCTTACATAGAAGCGAATTTCATCGTAAGAGCCCGATGCTGTAGATGTTAGTGTGTATTTCTTTGCTGCAATTCCAATTAATTCCCATTCACCCATAGTTGCCATCCTAGATTTAGAGTATTCAGTCATCCTCTCTGGAGTCTCTGTCAGGTAAAGCTGCAAAGCATTACCTGCATGGAAAACAGTCAAAGTCAGATAAAACCATATACATATAAATAAAAAAACAGCTTTAAAGACTAATCCACTCAATTCACCAGGATTGCTTGTGATACATCCTCGTGGTTATACTTACTCTTGAGTGTGTATGAGTTGAATGATAAAGTGCAGTTCTGAATGTCAAATGGAAACAAGTAGATGTCAAGCTTGCAGGAGGTGATGGCTTTGATAGGCTGTGAATCACTTACAGTACCATCAGAAAGCAGGTAGGCATATGGCACCTTTGGAGCTGTGTTTTCATCCATGCTGCAGGACGATAAAAGACATTAATTGAAGTCAGATATTTACATGGAAGAAATGGAAAATGTATGGAGAAATAGCTTAAACTGGACTGTAGCCTATATTGATTTTCACCAGAAGTGATAACCAGGTATGATAATAGATCAAAGTCTTGAGAAACGTGCAGCCTAATAATAAGTGACTTATTATTGTTCAATTATCTGCTTCTTTCTGTCTGCTAAATATTATAGGAGGCAGATGATAAGGAGTATACCTTTATATAGCGGATAGCAGTGTTACCAAGCCGCTCTATTGTCCTGTGCATGCCATTATGATTTTTTTTTTGTACAATGAAACCAACTGGAGTCACAAGCCCCCTGTTTTCTGACAAAATTCTACACATAAACTGTACCTTTGTAGTTTCACTTGTATGCACTTTCTTCATTTTTTCTTTCCTACTTAGCAGAGTTAGCTCTTTATTGGCTAATGATGCTTCAGGGCTAGTTCTCAAGATCATAAAAATACATAAAAAAGAAACTGATTGTAATCTGTGAATTGCTGAAGATAGGACTTACAATTCATTGATTATTATATCTGGTAGCCAGAGATTTGTTCTTGGAACAGACATCCGACTAGTTCCGCACTCTTCTGGGTCCCATTTGGTAAATTCATTTTGCCATTTCTGCAACAAAGAAACCCAAGAGTCTGACACCGTCCTTCTTCTTTTTAACTTTCTCTCTGTATTATTTTACGGTCTTTACCTTACAATGTAAAGAAACTTGAGGCAACTATTGTTGTGATTTGGGGCTATATAAATAAAACTGTACTAAACTGAAAGTCACTAGTGGATTTGACCTTCTACTGCTATTTTGGGACAAAACTTACACTGTGATCCCTAAAAACATTTTCATGGATAGAAATCAGCATTATTGCTTGAAAACTTACTATGAAGAAACTACTTACAAAATCTTGCCAGAGAAATGTTTTGAGGAGTTGAGCTTTCTCATTCTGAAAAAGAAGATTTTTATCCATAACTGGATAGTTTTACTGAACCTTAATGTCTGTAGAGCACATACTGAACTGAATCATTCATTTGTCTTAATTATTGATGTTCAGATGTATTATACTTATTCATTTTGATTTAAAACTCAAATTAAAAATATGTGGAATGAGAGGGAGACAACATTTTTAAAAAAGCCTCTCATGAGAAGTTTCTTTTGACCATTTTATGCTCTTTATCTTGTACAGTATGCAGAAAAGCACATGCGACCATTACTGAATTGATTTTAAGTTAATAAAGGTGTTATTTACCACTCCCAAAATGCCAAACACAGTTATAGAAATGCCAATGTTAGTGACGGTTGTTGTGTTCACCACAGGTCGAATGGCGTTCAGGTTGAAGACTGGCTTAAGGGCCTCCAGCATTGAAGGTGAATCAGGGTTAGAGCAATTCAGCAAGGTGGAGCTGTACTGAGCTACAAAGGATAGAAGAAATGTGCCCTTATGATTTATATACATTGACATTTGCTTCACTATCTAGGAGCAGATATGTTTTTTTGCCCCAAATGAATAAATGGCCCTAGCAAAGCATCAGAAACCCACATAAACATTTGTGTGAAATGAAGAACCATAACCCTGAACCTCAATGTATACAGTGGTTCGGTTTGGATGAACAATTACGACTGGTAATGTTTTGTGCAATTTTCAATTTTTTCGTCAAAATGTTTTTCAACCCTACATTTAGGTGAAAACAGAGTACAGAGTAAACATTGATTAACATTACAGTAAAAGTCCCACTCAATTTATTGCAAGTTTTCTTAATATCTAAATATCATGCCTCATTTTTAAAAATACAAACGAGGCATGATCAGTCTAAACGTGTCTAAATCTAAACGTAATTTTATTCAGTGTTCAGATTCCTGAAGATTTTGAATATTTTGTTTTTAATCCAGCCATAGAAAATCTTTATAATGTGGACACGAACGCACATTCTGACTAAATGTGTGATTTGGACATGTTTTGGCTAAACTGTCATTGTGAGTTATGCTAACAAAATAAACAAGTCACGTCCCTGAACCTGGATTAACAGACAAAATAAAAAGTTCTAATGCTGAACCATTACCATGCATACAATCATTTGCATATTTTTTAGTATTTTGGGTAACTGACTTGAATGAAAACTGTAAGAAAATCAACACTCAAAAATTGATTTAAAAATGTAAATCAAGGAATTAATCACATAAAAGATGTGTATACATTTTTAAGACAAATCAAGTTGATTCATTTTATACATTTTAGCAGCTGTACTTACCATTCACAAGCAGAGATATGAAGATTAATAGAAGCTTAGAAGGTCTTACTTTCAGCAGGCAGCACTAAAAACATCAAAATTGCATCAAAACAGGTTGTCAGTTTCAGTGGTGTGCAAGTGGTGAGGAATGCCTGTAAAGATTCTTAGTGGCATTTTAAGTGTTTTTTAATGATTATATCTCTTCTTTTCAAAAATCTGATACATATCCCCAACAGTAGAAAAAGATATTTCAAGATATGAAATAAATATTTTTATTTAAGACAAAACAGAAATTAATGTTTTTCACTTTTAATGTAACACTGCCTTTATTGTTTTAAGAAAATCATCACAATTAATTCAAAAACCATTCAAACTGAACCAGGGCATGGGTAAACGAGGGAACACACCACAGGAGGGAACACAGCTGAGTGTGATCCAAATAACAAGACAGGTAGAAGCAAATCTGAGCATGACGCACACAGGACAGGAGACTAACTTAGTAAAACAGGAAGTATGGGAAACACACAGAGACAGAGATAGATGAAACCCAGGCAACAGAGGAAGGAGAGAGTGCGAGAGCTCAAGGGACACAGAGATTACTTTTACTTTGCTTACTCATGTTAGGGTACCTGGGTCATTGACTCAGTGTTTTTTATATGTATAAGAGCTGTTACAACTATATATTCATGTTTTAGATTACTTGGGTTAAGTGCTGCACTGTAACATGACATTATATCATTGATATTCTTAAGTTGCAGGAAAACTGCAAAATTACCTTCGTTAACTGGTAACATTTTGTAAACATATTACTGATAGTATCAGGAAAATACAGAAATATGCTTAGGGGTTTTCAGGATATCACAACATTATAAATGTTTTCAGTCTCATAAAAAACTTGACTATTCAAGAAATTTGAACTACCATAAGATTCAGCAACCATATTTTATGTTGTTTTTTCATCAAACAAGCGTTTACTGCATAAAAGTCATTTTGCGCTTGTTAACACTCTTCTGCTAAAGCCTTTTCTTTTCCTATTTTTGAGTGATGAGCATGCTTTATGATTGTATATGCACCCAAAAATGATAAAAATATTTGAATATCAATTCTTATCTATGTACCCGTTTTCAAACGCTCTAAGGATATTACTCAAAATTAAGTAAACATTCATGTCACTAGCATAAATTGGGACCTCTAAAACATAGCAGCCGGCTACTAACAGTATGTAACCCAGCAAAGAAGCTGATTGAGACGAACAGAACGCAGAGGCCAAACAAAAGGCAGTTTTTACTTATTAGTAACATAAAGACAAGAATATTTCTTACCATGATGTTGCAAGTGAAATTGTATTCTTGCCGTTCTGAGAAGTTTGTCTTCAAACTACTAGAGAATATTTATCTTCTTTAAAGAATTGTCACATTCAAAACATTTTGCTGTCAGATGCATTAGTGAGCAGCTACAGTGCAAAAGTATGTCTGTAGCTTGCCTGGGAAACTAACTCTTGCCCCTCTCAAAGTCAGCCTTCATGGCCAAGATATACATATTGTCACTAAACAAAGATTGATTTGGCGGATTTGGAGAAACCACGGGCAAATGATGTGGAGCAGGAAAAACTAGGCATGGCAGGGCAGCTGCTTTGGCTGTATGTGTTTTGAGACAAAGTGTAGATAAACCACGGTTAATGTGGTTTTCAAGTCAGTGTGTGACATCAGTGCCACACCTGCTTTGCTCACAAGCAAATGAGAATAACCGTTGAGAAAGGTGGTGGTTTCAAAACCTCCTACCAGTGAAGCGTTGTCATTTTTTATAAGACGGTAATTAAAATTCACCAGTTTTGTAAAATCCTCTGTGTGATAGTTTACATTGTTTTCCTGTTAATAGTAATAATAACTTTATTTGTACAGCTGTTTTTAAAACACATTTTGAAGTGCTTCACAGTTTTGACCTTATTGCAGTATGGATTTTAAATAAAACCAATCTACATCATTAAAATTACGTCTACAGTCGACCCCTGCCTATTCGCAGTGCAGCATTCGCAGATTCACAGAGATTCACTCCAAATTATTTGCGGAATATTTGCCTATTCGCTGTATCTAAAATATTCACTAATTATTTTCAATTTATTTTTATGACTAAATACATTTTGGATGACAAAAACATTCAAATATTAATAATAATAATAATAATAATAATGGATTGGATTTATATAGCGCTTTTCAAGGCACCCAAAGCGCTTTACAATACCACTATTCATGCACTCTCACATTCATACACTGGTGGAGGCAGCTACAGTTGTAGCCACAGCTGCCCTGGGGCAGACTGACAGAAGTGAGGCTGCCATATCGTGCCATAATAGGAGTATTAACAAGCCACTAAATTATCCCATCCACCCTTTTATCATTGTTTTATTTTCAGTGCAAGTAGCTGTAGTCCCATCCCAAATATTTTCTGACAACAGCATTCAGGTACTGTTGGAATTTATTTATTTTTTATCAGGGTTAGAGCAGTGCAGCATAGTTGAGCTGTACTGAGCTGCAAAGAAAAGGTAAGATGGCGCCGCCATTGCGTGCAATAGGTCGGCAGCCTTAACATGAAATTTCCCCTTGTGGGACTAAAAAGGTATTTTATCTTATCTTAAGTCCAGTTAACTGTCAAAATCCAAAAATGTCACACTATCCTTTAATAGGTGTTATAATCTGGCTCTTTGACATCGATTTTGCAATTTTGAATTACTATTATA